CAGGCTCGACTGAAAACAGAAGAGTGGAGGCTGAGTGCAACACACCAGCATCCATATACTTTTGGCCATGTAGTGTAAGTGTGCCTTTGTGTGTGTGTAACCTACACACTGTGTTCTTTGCAGTTGGGGGCCCACTGTGGTTTTCTCTCCCTCCCTACCAATCTTTCTCTGTCCTCCCTCTCTCTACCTCTCCTCACCGATCCCTTGCTCGCTCCCTCCCACCTCCTCTTGCCAAATTGCCTTACACTCCCTTTTCTCTCTCTGTGTTTCTGCCTGTTAGGAAGAAGTGAACAATATGACCTTTAGTCGCAGCGATAACATTCTCCCTCATGAATTCCCCACCTCTCCAACTTTCCTCTCACATTCTCACTGGTTTGTGTTTGCCATGTTTTACTTAGACATGATCATCTTGGCGCCCGGTGATTAATATGCAGCACTAGGAGGCTGCTGGGGAGTTAAGTCTCCCCGGGGTCACATACACCTACACTAAATATATGTTCACACTGCAGCTGAGAGAGTGTCTCATCTCTGTTTTTGTCCTCTCACATGTGTCACACTCTACTTCATTTTTTTTTTTTTTTTTAGCAAAGAGCTGCATGTAGTTGTGTGTCTGCAAATGAGACCCAGAGGCAGGGATAGAATCCGCTGAAATTAGGCCCTGGGGCAACATATGAGCTGTTGGGCCATTATTTAACCCCCTCTTTTTGTTATTCCCACTAAATATCCTGTCACTTTCAGGTAGCCATCAAGTTCAGTGGGCACAGCTAATGACACACAGCACCTTAATTATGTTTTGTCTAGCTCTCCACAAGCCCAACACCTTCTCCCATTAGGAGGCTTTCCTGTGTGCCAGTTAGTCTGTGGTCTTTTTATGAGACATGTTTATTTAGGAAGTGCAACAATGCAACACACAGACATGGCTGAAAATAAAACACATTTTTCAGGTTTTTTTCTTTCTCTGACAAAGATAGCTGGCTACCACAAAATATTATAAGGATAATAACATTTATTGGCCAAGTATGTTACAAGGAATTTGTTTCCGGTACAGAACCAAACCAGCCATCTGTGGCACCAACTAAACCGATGGCTTAACCATCGGGGGCAACGGGGGGTTGAGTGTCTTGCCCAAGGACAAGATTTGGGCAAGACTTTGACTTGTTCTTACTGAAGGACCCAGCCTCGGACCTGTGCTGAAGTCCCCGCCGCTCAACTCTGAATGGGATTAGGTGGGTGTGGAGAAACAATGGCTGAGTGAATGGAGACCTTGCACTCAGACATGTGGTGTGTTTGGCAGCACGCTGCAGTGTTGCTTCACTGATCCACCACCCACACGCTCACAGCTTTGGCTAATCAAGTCCTGAAGGGCAATCGCACATTAATCAAGTGTGTTAGATCTAAGCGGACAAAGAGCTAGCGTGCCTTGTGGTGCTCCAGATGCAGGTCAGGCTGGCACACACACATGCACAGACCTGTCTGTCAGGATAAGCGTGTTCTTGCTGTCCTCACAGGCATGTTACATTCTGTCATGCAATAATCTGACGGGCTTTGTTTCTGACTTTGCAAGCTTTGACTTGAAGAACAAGTGTTTGTGTGCGGAAGCCAAAAGGTTTCGAGTGAGAGGTGAGGAAACCCAGCTGAAAGTACAAACCCGTTTTTCATCAGGACGACAGATGTAGAGAGCCTGAGAGGTCTGTCGGTTCGAACATGTTTTAATTACACTCCAATATCACAGAAATGTTAGGTCACAGACATAAATCAAAAGTAAAAAGCTCACAGCCTGAATCCAGAGATTACAATAGTACGGAAATGTAAATCCATCACAGAGAAACCATTGGGTTTAACGACATTTGTACAACACCAAAATAAACACAGGAAACCAAATAATGAGACACGATAAATAATATCAACACAGATGTAAAACACTGACTGGACTCCAGGAGGTGCATCTGGCACCGGCCACTGAATCGGACTTTTATTCTGAAATTAGATGCTGACCCATAAAAAAACACCCCCAAAGATAAATGTTGACGCCGGTAGTATACTGTATTGCTATCTGTATATTTATATATTAATAATAACTCTGTGGCTGTTCATTTTGTTTCTGAATATTGGATTGTACATACATAATAGCTAATAATTACACAATATTACTATTGAATTTTTATATCTGGAATATTTGTAGCAATTAATTCACTTATGATGTACATCTTAATAACTAATACAGCTCCACACAGTGGTGCCTCCACCCCTGAACCTCAGGGCCACAAGCACATTTTTGCCTCATCTGACCAAAGCACAATGTTCCGGTGGTCTCTCAGCTCCTCCAGATGTTGTGTAGCAGATGTCAGACGTCAACCTTCAACGCGTCTATTCTTCAGAAAACAAGTCTTACTGACTACACGGAGACGGTGGTTCTCTCTGTGACGAGCGTACCTGCTTCTTCCAGGTCTTTCTGGAGCTTGTTTCTTTGTATTACTTCATATTCATATCTATTATCCAAGATTTTGACTTTATTTTTAAAAGCACAGATTATTGAACAATTGTAGGATAAAATCACAAAGTCAGATAATGTTGTCTTTTGCCACATTTAGTTTAGCTTATTATGACTAAATAAACTCTCCCTCTCTCTTTTTAAAATCTCTGTTCTCCTATCATATAGGGAAAATTCCTTAAGAGCTGAGGACCTCCAATAAACCGCCAGAGTTCGCCCTCTACAGGTGTAGCTATGTATCGCTTGTAGCTCAGCAAAACCCCTTACAGGAACATCATGCCTGTAACACAACAATCCATGTGTGCTGACAGAAAAATCCCATTAACAAACATACGTATAAATATTAGATATATTATTATATTATTAAATATTAAAATTTAAAAAGCAGACAGACCGCTCCCTACATGTCACATCAGTGAACAAAGCAGCTACCATTCTGGCATTTTTTTTTACACTGCAAAGGTCCATCTGGACCTTAACAGAGACAACTTGTTGCACAGCCTTATTTTTATTGAAACCTTATTTTTATGCATAATTTCAAAAATGGTATTAAAGTTTCAGCACATAGTAACATTCAAAAGTCATTCTTTATGGTCCAAATCCATGATTCAAATTTATAAACAGCTTATTTTACTACACGTGCCTATGAATCATGGTCACTTTTTACTAGGAAGCGGAAAAACGTGCACATGGAACTTACATTGCTCACAGAAATCCATGATAAGAATAAGCACAAAATTGCACCCTCCTGAGAGTCAGTGATGCTTGTTGTCGTCAGTTAATTATTCTAATTTTGTGCCAGTGTTGTGCAGTGGAGGAGGGAAACACGAGAGTCCCTTTGGGATGTCTTGTCTCACGGTGATGGATGTAACTTTGGCATAAACTTTACAGCTATCATCATCACTGCAGTGGCCCTGCAGTACAGTGGTCATGAGAGAGTGAAGTAACAGAGTGAGAGACACTAACAAACACACAATATTGCACAATTAAGTAGGTATACACAGCTGTGAACTCTGGCATACTTTTAGCAAATACACACACAGTGTAACCTTGACTGTTTCAGTATCTCAGTAACATAAAAGAATAAAAGCAGAACAATTTCTGAGGGACTTTGAGCTTCAAAACTAAAATAATTAGGAGCTGGTTAAACTTTATAATCAAAGTTTCTAAATAACATGAAATCTAGTTTGGCAAGCTAGTAAAAAAATGGCATTGATTAGTCTGTTTATTAGGTACACCAAGCTAAAATGAATGGAGTCTAATCCACCAGTCTCCTTCATGAAGGTATTTCTCTCCACAATAATGAGTCTGACATTCAATTTATGGCCTTTCTCTTTGACATAAGCATGAAAGTGTCACTCTGTTTGGCTCCATTTCATTGGAAATAATTAGGTTTTAGGGCTTGGTGAAGACGCTGTTTGGCCTTTTCCACTGTAGGAACTGACCGACCTGCAACAGAACTTGACCCTGTTCTCTAGGGTTTTACTTTAGTTTCCACTGCCCTGTGCTCTCTTTGGAGTCGAGCACCCCTGGTTTGGTTGGTTAGTGGTTAAACAGCAGTGTCCTCATGTCTCAAGTATTAGTTACAAGCATGGTGTGTGAACATACACATGCTGATTTTGACGTAAAACAGCAACTTCAGTGAGTTGACCACAGGCAAAGCGACAGTCGCCCCATTTCTGCAAGTCTGCTTGTTTGATAAAGTGCTCATACAGGGAATTTAACTGCATGTTTGCGTGCACACTGTGGCTACTCTGCACCTTTTGATATGTATGTAGGATCAGCAGCAGACTCAGTAGTGACAACACTAGTGAAACCCGTCACCGCTGCTGCTTTAAGTGCCGTAATATTAACACTATAGTCACCTGCTTGGGTGTCATGTGATTAGTGGTTTTACATTGTGCCTAATCAGATGTTCCTTAGGAAGATATTCTTGTGCCCTGATTAGTTCTATTGTGGATATTCCTTTAATCCTCACATGCTCTGCTCAGCTGAGAGAGTGTGTGTTAGGAGCGCAGCCCTGCCCTCGTCTAAACAGAGGCCGACATGGCGAAAAACACAGTGGGAAACCAAAGCACTACAATCAGCCTGTGAGGGAACGGCTCATGGAAGCACAGGGTAAACCGTTCGTTAGGTTCCAACAGAGGAAACGGAGCTCATGCACTGAAGCCACTCATCTACATGTACAGAAGTGTAAAAGGTAAGTATATAATTTGGTTAAATGTGACTGCTGGTTGTGTTCCCATGTTTCTAAATTTAACATATTTGTAGATGCTCCCATCTAACGCAGCCTACCTGGTGTCTGGTCAGGACTCGTGGCTGCTGACAGATGCTTTCTTGGGTTCAGGTGTGATGTTTCAACTACCTCTCCTGCCCTCACATGGATTACATTTGTGATGAAGGTGTTGCTCCTCCCTTTAGGTTCAACAATGAGCTTTCCTGTACCACACTTCTTTGGTGCCACAGACAAACACTACAGATCCTGGTTTAGAAGGAGCAGTTTGTTTGTCTACAGATTTTGGTCCAGCCAGCGGATGAAGTTGTTCATGCTCCTCTGTCCAACACTAGACATCATTGGTGTGTATGCAAACACCATACAGGCATGAAAACCATCCTCATAGTGATCGCTGGTCACTGTGACACCAGCATCCTGCAGGCGCCTGGCATACATCAACCCGTCATCTCTCAGCACATCAAACTCACAGGTCAACATGTATGCTTTAGGCGTCCTACTCAGAACCTCCTGTTCTGCCAGCAGCGGTGAT